TGCCACTTCCTGGCAATAACAGTTATATCATGGGGAAGATATTTTCATCTGTCATTCCTTAAGGCGATGTTTTCCAAGCTTCAGCTTCCACCCATTCAGACCCATGGGGTGCTAATGAATTAGTCTATTATGTTATGCTGAATGTTTCTAAAAGGTCCCTCGTTGATACTGAATTCAGTGCGTCAACATTTGGCATCGAGAACGCAACTTTTTGCCAAGCAGCAAGGTTGTGCACAGTTCACTATGTATGGCACTTGGGGTCTCGGCCCAGGACAGTTTGGACAAAGAAAATCGGAGTGGGACAAAGGGGCCTCTTCATCAACTTCCCATTGTCGCTGCCTTCACGTGACAGGAGGAGGGGCACTCATGTCACAAGCCCTACAATACTTGCAGCCAAGTCCAGGCTCTGGGGTACCAGGGAGGAAGGTGATCCCCAGCACTGGTGCCCCATCTTGCCCCCTCCCAGGCTGTGACTGACTGCAGCCTCTTAACAGACAACATGCTGCATCTGGAGATGGAAGGGCTGCTTTCACCAGCACTCAAGCCCCCACCAGAACCAGAGATGCCACCCTTCACATTGAGTCAGGTAGACTTCTGGTCCTGAAGAAGGGCAAACTGAGTCACAGAGGCCTTGGGAAGTCTAATGCTTTGGCATCTCCCAAGCCATAGATGCTACGTCAACACTGAGTTGGAGAAGAGGCCAAGCCCTCTGCAGAAAAGGATGAGGAGGGCGCCCCCTGGGGGCAGAGCTCAGCTTCTCTTCCATGGCCCCTGCAGTTCTGCTCTGGCCCCAAACTTGCATACACCACTCTGCAAAACAAAATCCCTCCAGCTCCCCAGCCCTTCTTCCTTCAAAGGCAGTTTAAAGAAGAGCTGGTCCTCCACTCTGGGCAATTTACCAAACCACTCCTAACTTCCTCCTGTAGAGAGCTCCCCAGGGAGAAAGGTGTGAGACACTAGTCTCCACATCCAGGCTCTTCCCAGTGATGTTTAAGTGCCCCAGAGAGCTACTCAGGTGGGTGACCCCTCTTCCCACTTTGGGTGGCAGGAGTATTTGGCTCAGGGGCTCATAGGAGAGACAGACTAGGTCACAGGCATTTGCTACCAATGGAGTAACCAATCAGAGGTCTCAGGATAAGAACAGAAGCCCCCCAACCCATCCTGTTGTGCATGTATAGAAGAGCAATCAGGGGAGGCTTTCTGGAAGAGGTGATGCTTGAACTGAACCTTAGGGATGAACCCACCCAGGAGGGGTTACAAAGACAGGCATTCCCACCACCAGGGGATAGAACGTGCACAAAGGTGCTGGACACAGGGAAGAGAAGCAGGATAGAGGAGGTGGAGGCCAGTGAGAATGGGAAAGAGAGACGAAGGTAGGTGGGTATTCCTGGAGCAAAAAATGAGAGAGGGTGAGAAGAAACGTGAGAAGGCTGGAGGGGTGGAGAGTTTTCTAAAACTGTGCTAAGGAATTTGTACTCTATTCTGAGAAGGCTACAAGGCGTCACTGGAATATTTTAAGCATGGAAATGACAGGGTTGAATTTATACTTCAGAAAGATCCCTCCATTCATTACGTCCAGTGGGCATGAGCAGGGGGCAGGGTGGTCAGAGCCTGTGGACGGGAGGCTCATGCATTGTCACAGGGGAGGCGGAAGGTTCTGGAGCTGGTTGGCCAGGGCTGCCTTCGTCACTCCCCAGCTGTGGAACCTTGAGCAAAAGGCCTTATCTGCTTTCCTTCCTCTAAAATGAGGTGATCATAGCACTGTCGTGGTAGGGCGGTTGTGTGAACTAAATGAGTTAATACCTGTAAGGGACTTCGTGCCTGTGGATCTGAGGTTCCTAGATGCTCAGTAAACGTTAACTCACTGTGATCATTTTCATATTGCCAAGGGGGTGAGGCAGGAAGGCCCACCCCATGTCTGCCCTGGGGGCTGTGCCCAGCAGCTGTCATAACTGCTGCCAGACAAGGCAGATCAGAAACATTTGTCAGACACTTACATAAGGTTGCATATGTACCAGACATGTTAACTTGTTTCCTTCCTATGACAACTCTACGGCAGGCAGTATCATCGCCCCCATTTTGCAGATGAGGCGACTGAGGTGGGGAGAGAAGATGACACTTGAACCCAAAGGTCTGGCCTCTCTTACCCGTGATCTCAGGCTGCCTTGGGGAACTGCCCAGGAGGACTATGGGAGGGAGGCCTCCTTGGGGTATTTGTTTTCTGCCCCCTTTTCTGCTGGTTCCACCGTCATCCTGATCTAAACCCAGACCCTCTCTGTGTGTTTCCCAGTCACAAGTAATAGTTTAGGTTAGTGGCTTCTCAAAACACAGATTCACCAGGCCCCACCGCAGACTCCAAGTCAGGATAGCTAGATGTGGTTCATCTTCTACACAGAAATCAAGATCTCCAGACAATTCTGATGCATGTCTTGTGTTTGACAGCCACTGGGAGCATTGAGCATAGGGGGTTGTGAATAAAACAAACAATGATGTATTAGTAAATGTTTAACAACCAGCTCTCTGAAAGGGGAAAAAAAAACCCAAAACACAAAATCCTAATTCGTAACGTTTGCAAATTTCCATGGTGCAAATACTCCACCATGGTTGATATCAAGCTAGCCACGTAATGTCGCTAGGCGTGGGGCTGGAAAGTCATGCTGGCACTCAGCTCACACAACCAGGGGAGCCAGCACCCGCACACCACAGAAACAGACCCAGCCACAAATGTAGCTGCGCCTTTTATGAGCTGTATGAACTTAGGCAAGTCACCTCACCCCTCTGACCCTCTTTCCTCTTCTTTGAAAAGGGAATAATAGAGCACTATGAAATACCTACTTCGCGGAAACTGTGGAGACTAAGTTTATCCCATGTGTAGGGCAAGCACAGTACCCACCCTCTGTGCCCGGGTGGCCATTGCAGTGGGGCCCGCCGTCTGCTGAAGGCCCTGCCTCCTGCTCACATTTGGTCCCTTCCACATCCCAGATCCTGGTGTGGGATCAAAGCCATGTTTGTTTGGGGTATTTTTGTTTGCTTATTTTTTGGTTTTGAGTTGGGTAGTTTCACTCTGCTGCCCAGGCTGGAATGTTCACCGCAGCCTTGCCTCCGGGGCTCAGGCGATCCTTCTGCCTCAGCCTCCATAGTAGTTGTGACTACAAGTGCGTACCACCACACCCGGCTAATTTTTGGTTTGTTTGTTTTTGTTTTTGTAGAGACAAGCTCTCACTCTGTTACCCAGGCTGGTCTCGAACTCCAGGGCTCAAGTGATCCTTCCACTTCCGCTTCCCAAAGTATTGGGATTACAGATCTAGGGCCATGTTTGTTTGGACAAGTTTTGGACTAGACTAGACTGTCTTGCCTGGGCTTAAATCTGCTCCAAACCCCTTCCCTACTTTCCAAATCATCAAAGAGGAAACCAACACAGTGCATTCCATAAGGAGGCTGTTTTGGGGATGTAGCAGGGACAGGGGAGTTTAGCATCAATTAAGAACATCTCAGAGACCAGAGGAAGTCAGCACCATGTGAAAGGGCTCCTGGTTTATCCCTTATCAGCTTCCCATGGACCATGATAGATTTAACCAAAGCTGGGGCTGTGATAGGGCTGGGTGATCTTCATGATGGCAGCAGTCAGGGAGAGTTTAGCACCACCCAGTTGTGTTCCCACCAGCCTCTCCCCCAGTCGATGGAGGGTCTGAGGGAGGGGACTCAGGAGAGAGGAGAGGCTGGGGTCCAGAGGGCAGCTTAGTGGGAGGAGAGTGTGGGAGAGTATAAATAGTAGATGGGGAGAAGCTCAGACTCAGTTTCCCCACTAGTGGGATAGGGCTCCTCTAGACTGTCCAAGTATACATTTCAAGAAGTCAAAAATACTAGTCTCGTGCAAATATAGAGTGAGCATGTGTCAGAGATGTATTCAGCTCACTAACAAGGGAGCCAGGAGGATGGTAGAGCTGCCTGAAAGAGCATTTGATGAATTGGGTATTTATAGGTATTTCAAGCGGGGGTGGGGAGGGACCAAATGAGACTGCTAGGTTAGACAGAAAATGGATTAATGTCCTGTAAGGCAATGAAACTACAACCCTGGGGATTACCTTTTCTATTAGACAAAATTCTACAAGTTAACCCAAGTAGCTGACAATGAAGTCAAGCCCAGGTGCCTTCTCCCGGAGAAAAAAGTCATCCTGGTAGCCTGGTAAATGATGTTTCTTTGTCATGAGGAGTGAACGTGCTGCCTCTACTCGCCTGATTTCCAGGTTTTGGGTGGTTTTCAGCACGACAGAGTTCTACTTGCTTCTCTCACTCCCACCTGCCACCTCCTCCAGGATGTCTCTCCTAGTTTAGGGACACCTGGCTTCTCCCTCCACCCCCTGTTCCTCTGTCCCCTTCCCTCTCCAGCCCACCTTGCCCCAGAGCTGGCACTGCAGGAAGGGGCTTGAGCCAGCCATGTGTGCGTTAAGACCCTGTTCTCCTGGGCACAAGGCTGGGTGTGACCTGGACCATGACAGACAGGCTGACTGCCAGTCAGCTGCCCCTAGGAGGCAGAGTTGAGGAGGCCCTGGCTGGGATGTGGGAGACAATGGAGAGAAGAGGGCAGTATTCTCTGAGTCCCAGGCAGAAAAGACTGTTTTTAAATACCCTCTTCTAGGGGGTAAGTTACTTCTTCCAGTCTCCTGCGTATCGTGGAGATCCCCAAACCCAGTGCGCTTGATGTGAACCATTACATGGGGTCCTAGAAAAGGAGAGTGATGCCCATTTTGTAGATGAAGAAACAAGCTGAGGCGCCCCCAGCTAGCATGTGGGGTTGGTTGCTTGACAGACCCCAGTTCTGAGTCAGACTTCAGGTCCAGGGCGCCTATGGGCATTCCCGTAACTGCTCTGGGGCCCCATACCTCCCACAGGGTTCTGCAGGGCGCTGTAGCCTTAAGCCCTGGGTCCTTGTTTAAGGGTGGGGCTGGAGCTCCTGCAGGGGCCACACCTTGGTCATGCAAACCTCTCCCTCTCTCCAGGATCTCTATGCATTGGACCTGGAGCCCTACCGCTACTCTGGGGTGAACCTGACGGGGTTCCGGATCCTCAACGTGGACAACCCGCACGTCTCGGCCATCGTGGAGAAGTGGTCCATGGAGCGGCTGCAGGCGGCTCCCCGTGCAGAATCTGGCCTGCTGGACGGAGTGATGATGGTACGGTGGCCGGGTAGGCCTGTTCAGGGGCTCCCACCTGCCTACCTACTTTCCTTCTCTCCTTTCCCCCATTTCTTTCTTCCCTTCCACCACGTCTCTTCTTGAGACCTGCCCTGTGTCACCAGACCCAGGCTAGGGGCTGGGGACATAAAGATGACTCAGACTCAGTCCCTCCCAAGGGGCCCCGGCCAGTGAGGATCCAAGTGTGTAAACAAATGGTCACAGAGAATGAGGATGGGCCCCAGAGATTCTGGGCACGGTGGACTTGAGGCTGTGACCCACACGTGTGAAGGCTGAGGAGGCAGGAAAGAAGATGTGATCAGGACCTAGGTAACAGCGTATGTGATAGGGTGGGGCAGGAAGGGCTGCAGGAGCAGGTCTGAGCTGCAGAGGGTGGCACTCAGGGTGTCCGCAGAGGGGCAGAGTCAGCCAGGCCAGGCCTCTCACCATAGGCAGAAACAGGGTCACCTCAGGAGCTTCCTGGACACGTGTCCCTGTGGTGGGGAAAGGGAAGGGAGACAGGACACGGAGGGCCGAGGACTAGAGGGACTGGGGAGCCGCTCTCAGGCAAGCCTGGGCCCTCCTTCCAGACGGACGCGGCCTTGCTGTATGACGCCGTCCATATCGTGTCCGTGTGCTACCAGCGGGCGCCACAGATGACCGTGAACTCCCTGCAGTGCCATCGGCACAAGGCCTGGCGCTTTGGCGGCCGCTTCATGAACTTCATCAAGGAGGTGAGTGCTCCTGCAGCCCCGCCCCCAGCAGGGCTGTCTTCAGAGCCGCACAGCGGTCACGGGCTGGGTCTGGGAGACAGACAGGATGGATTTCTAATCCATTTGAACTCGGGCAAGTAGCCTCCACATCTCTGAGCCTCAGTTTCCTTGGGTGAAATGGGCTTGATAGGACCAATCTCATGGGGTGACTGATAGGCATAAGTCCTTGGCACATGGCAAGTGCTCAGCGGGTGATCAACGTTGTCAGGGGATACAGCAAGGGCTTTAATGTACAGCATGGGAGGGTCTTTGCTTCCTGGCTGTGTGACCTGGGGCAAGTTGGAGAACCTTGCTAAGACTCAGTCACCTCATCTATGAAATGGGTATATGGAACATGCCCACCATAGGAGAATGCTGTGATGATGGAATGAGAGTCCCGTAGTAAGTGGGAAGTGCCTCCCTGGGGCAGAGGAGGCTCAGTAAACACTCATCAGCCCCACACACCCATCTTCACATCAAGGGCCACTGACCAACTTCCCAGCCAGGGTCCCCATGGGCCATGATAAGTTTGGAGAAGCCCCATCAATGGAACTGATTCCAGAGAACATGGAACCTGCCCTACTGCTCAGAAGATGACCATGGGAAAACAGTATCTAGCCTTAACTTTCAAAGGATCTTCCATCTGCCGTTGTCCTTGTAAGCTTTAGATGGCAGCATTTATCGCTCCCATTTTATGGATGGGGAAGCCAAATCCTGGCTCTATCACAATTAGCCCGTGACTTGGGATGATTACCTCTTTGATGATTACCTCTTTGATGATTACCTCTTTGATGCTCAGTGTGGGATCATGAGAGTGCCTGGCTCAAAGCGTTGTTGGAAGACAGAGAGAAAAACAGTGTGTAAGGCACCTAGCCTAGGACCTGGCCAGAGTCACATCCCAGCAGATGATGGATGAAGAAGACTCAAGAGGGTGACAGTAGGGTTGTCCTGGGCCAGAGAGAGTGACCACATCCAAGGCAACACCAAGGCCAGAGCCCTGGGATGGCTCCTGCTAGATGACCTCCTTATAACAGTCACAGTGGGTCAGAAATGTTGTGGGCTGCCTTGGGAGTGCATTCATTTATTCCACAGCCCTTTGTCAGAGCTGCTGGGTGGCAGACACTGAGCTCTGTCCTGGGGACCAATGGAGCTAACACAGAGGAGCCCCTACACCAGAGCTTACAGCCTAGGGAGGAGGCAGGCTTTCATCAGTCATGGTAGTCATGGATGTAATCCCATATGCAAAGAGAGGCAGCTCTGGGAGAGCAGACAGCAGAGAAACTCCTCTCCTCAGATACAGGTCAAAGCAGCTTCCCTGAGGTCCCAAGGTCACCGTTGCTGCTTCAGCCAAGGACAGCTCCTCCCGCGTATTCCAACACTATGAAAAGAGTGTGGATAAGACACAGGCTTTAGAGCTCACCGTGTGCATGTGAATGGATCTCGTCTCCACCGCTCTCCAGCTATGTGAAGTTAGACACATTATAGGACATCCCAGAGTCAGCTTCTGCACCTGGAAAACACCATGACATCGTGAAGGATCAATTAAGTCTTTAGCTCTAGTTAGTTCCCTTACCCCTAGAAGGGACCTCGTTCTAGGGCCGTGACAATCCCTTCCCATCCAACCCATCAAAACTGCAGGGGATGGTCCACCATCTGAAGCCCCAAGCAGGGCCCCGGGCTGGGCAACCATCTGTTTGCTTTCCAGGAGCTCTGAGACCAGCCCCCTCGTACCCCTTTTCTCAACGAGCCTCCAGCCGAGCAACTAGAGGTGACCTTGAGGGTCTCAGCCACCCAGGCCACAACCTGGTCCTGTCACTCCTCAGTGATTTGAGGTTTGATTTGAGATTTGAGAGATTTGAGAGCCTTAGGAGCCAGACAAAAGTGGCTTGGAAGCCTCACCACTTTTTAGCTGTATGACCTTGGACAAGCTACTGAAGCTTTCTGTGCCTCAGTGTCCTCCTCTGTACAGTGGAGACAACAATAGTACACGTGTCATAGGGTTGTTGAGAGGATTAAGCACGTGGTGGTGTGGGGGGGGCACTTGGTGCCTAGACATAGCAAGCTGAACAGGCCAGCTGCTGCCACTGTCGTCTCCATGATCATTACTGTTATCACATGGCTTCCTGTTTGTGAGGGGATGGAAAGAATATTCCAGCTGCCAGGTCCCCAGACTTCATTGCTTCAAGGACACCTGCCTCTTTTACCCTTCACCCCTCACCCCTTAATGTTTCTGAGGCTCGGCTGTGAATCCCTGAGAGGAGCAGACTCACCACTGCCCACCATAGAAAGGGGACCCCATTCTCCCTCCAGGACTACCCACCTAGGTTGGCATACCTGGCCCAGGCCCAACGAATGACCCTCACACTCACACTCCTCTCCAGAGCCTTTCTGGAAACACTCATGCTATCTACATTTTAGGACTGTGGAGATTAAGGCCCAGAGTAGCCCTCTGATGCCCATGGTCCCTCAGCTGGCCACAGCCAAAGCTGAACCCAGCAGCTTCCCTCAGACCCTCTCCAAGTTGCCCATCTCCCCATCTGATTGCGAGACAGTAAATCATTTTAAAGACTTGGCATTTCCGAGAGGAGCTGGAAAATACCAGGCCGGAGTTCAGAGTGTGTGAAGCATCTTTCATTTAGCAAGTCCTGAGCGGTGTCTGGAGGGGCGGGCAGCCCGGGAAATGTCACGAGGAGGAGCTGCCAGCACTCCCTGCCCTGCCCTGTCCACCCGCCCACAGACAGGCCATGCACCTGCTGGCATTTAATTTCTCTGTAGCTGACAGGCAGGAAGGCCTCCCTCACAGTGCAGGTTTGAAGGCACCTGCTGTGATTTCCCCCAGGGGCCAAGAGCTAGCCTGAGGGTGTGGGTTGCAGAGTGGGGGGCGGGGAGGGATGGGGAGCCAGCCTGAGGGATCCAGGGAATCCTGGTGAAATCATAAACAGTGGTTTTCACCTTCTCTATTGATCTATTGATCTCTGTTTCCAGCCCCTTGGTCCCCAGCTCCCTGGGTTCCATGCAAGTTCTTCCCCACTGTACCCTGGGTGCTGCGACCCCAGGCCTTTCAACAAGAGAATCTATCCTGTCCACCAATACTTGGGACCCGAATAGCTCAGTCCCTCTTTGAGCCTCAGTGCCCATATCTGTAAAATGGGGGCAATGATGACAAATACCTGACAGGATGACAGTGAGGACTCAATGAGCTCAGGTAGGGAAGGCTTCCAGCCCCCTGAGACCACCTCTCTCCTAGAGCCTGCAGCTTTGGCCCAAGTGACCAGCCCCCATTGCCAGCCAAGGGTCAGTCCTAATCCAAGGATAGCTCCATGGATAGATACCACAAAGGACATATATTGTCTGCCACTTAGTCGTAACTATATATACAGACATTGTGCTAACCACTGTATACACTGTTTTTATACCTTGTTATACCTGTGAAGCAGGTAATTTCTCCCCTCCTGAAGCTCAGGGCAGTTACATCACTTGTGTAAAACCCACCTTGTAACCACTTCTGTTTTCCAGCCTCCCCAGCCTCTCCAAGGTGCTACCCTACTGCCCGAGTTCATTTGCCCACCTACCCATTTACCTGGAAGGCTTCATGTGCCTTAGAGCTGTGCAGATGCTTGGAGATTCTGAAAGGTTTTCCATTCAGGATTCACATATAAACCTCCAGGGATCTGTGACCCTGTGAGCTTGTGGGTTGAACTGTGAGTGCATGCCTGACTGCTGAGGGTATTCAAAGGGAGAGACCGCGGAGCCTGTTTCAGAGTCTGCAAGGGAGCATGGCCCAGTGGGTTGGAAATGCAATATGACAAAGCAAGGACTTGGAGCTAGGTCTCTGCAATTCAGGCCTTCCACTGCCCAGGCCTCTTCTCCGGATGGACACTCGCCCTTCCCCTTTTCTCTGGCCCGTGTGGCTGTGGGAGCTTCCCGGTTTTCTCCCTTCCTCTTCCTCCCAAGGACTCCAGGATGCGTGGGGTTTGTTCTCCCAGTTGCAGAGAGTTGGTGTTTCCCTGAGTCCCGGGTGTGTCTCAAGTTCCTGGAGGAAAGAAAGGAGAAAGGAAGCTCCAGGCCGAGGAGTGGAGCCTGAGACCCTGAGTTCCAGTGTGGTTCTGTGGTTCTTCCTTTTGCTCACTCTGTGAGCTTGGAGGCCCATGGCCTCTCCAGGCCTGAAAGTCCTGGTCCCTGCCTGGCCCTCTCCCGGGGCTGCTGTGGAGAGTTAGTGACATGAACAGTGTGAAAGTACCTTGCAGACGTAATGCTCTTGGCCCACAAAAAAGATGTTTTCTGGAATGGAATCAGCAAACTTTCTCCATAAAGGGGCAGATAGAAAATGGTTTAGGCTTTATGGGCCAGACAGACTCTGTGTGACTATTCAACTCAGCGGTTGCAGGGCAAACGCAACCAGAGACCACACATAAACACAAGGACATGACTGTGAGCTAATACAACATTTGCAAAGGCAGGCAGATGCCCGTTTGACCCACAAGCCACAGTGACCTAGAAGAAAGAGCTTTTCTTAGGTTAGGTCTGCCCAAACCTCTGCCTACCTCTCTCTGCTTTAATGACACTAGTAACAATTTAAAAAATAACAAAAGCCAATGTGTATTCTGGGCTCAAGTTGTACCAGGGACCGTTCTCAGTATTTTACATGACTTACCTCATTCCATCCTTACAGCATTTTGGTACGATGCACACTGTTATTAGTTCCATTTTACAGATAAGGAAACTGAGGCAGAGGGGTGAAATGAAACACGCGAGGTCACATAGCTAATTGTGATTGGGCCCAGTATTCTGACCCCAGAGTTCTTAACCACAGCATGCCTGGAGCTGGATCTAGGGGCTGGGAGTGGCCCTCTCCATCTCTCTTGCCTCTCTGGGAGCTACTCCATGTGTCTGGTTTCATGGCTAAGGTCAGCTTGGCGCCTTGGCTTGTCTGTCTCTTAGCGGGTCTCACCTGGCCCACCTCTGCCCGCCTGCCTCCCTGCCCCTCTCCGGGGATCTGACATGGGCTCCCCCTTCCCATGACTTCGAGGCGGGGGCTCATTTGAGTGCATCCAAGATCGATGTTGTACACGGGAAGGTGCAAATGTAAAACTGGCTAAAGAGCATAATAGAATTTATGGAAATCGCTGGCTCGCACCGCAGCCCGAGCAATGATGGAGGTGATTATTAATTAATCATGGTCTTGGGGGAACAGTATCAGTGCAAGGAGTAATTAAAATGAAGCATTGTACAGTTGTACCGAATGATGATTTATGAGCCCGAGGAATTGCCGCTCTGCCCTCTCCCCTCCGCAGGCTCAATGGGAAGGATTAACTGGACGGATTGTTTTCAACAAAACCAGTGGCTTGCGGACGGATTTTGATCTGGACATCATCAGCCTGAAGGAGGATGGCCTGGAGAAGGTGCGTAGACACAAGAAGGTCGGGCAGAGGTCCAGAGGCGGGGAAAGACCCAGTTCACCTGCCCCTCAGGGCCTGATGTGATCCAGTGTGTCCTGTGCCTCTGGAGGCCTGTTGGAGAACAGGAAGCACTGGTTGGACTGGGGCACATAGAAGCCAGTATCCTGGCTACTGCAGATACCCAAGCCACCACTCTGTGGGCAAGGGCCCTCAGGGATGCTTAACCTGGGAAATGTAACAGAAGGCTCATGGGGAGGACAGACTGTCTCTGGGTCCCTGTAGGGCTGTCATGGGGCAGAAGGACAGACATATCCTTAGGTAAAAGAAGTTGTCTAACCAGCAGGGGATATCTCCCTGTGGAGTAGTGAGCTCACTGTCACTGGAGGCATTTAAGCAAAGATAGAGAGATTGCTTGTCTGAGAGACTAGAGGTGATTCTTACCCTTGGAAAGAGGTTGAAGCACATGGATTTGGAGCTTCTTCATTCCAGGCTTCTAAGGTCTCTATGATGCCAGAGAGTTTGGGTGAGGAAAGGAGGCCTGCTTGGGCCTGGGACCTCCCATCTGGCTGACATAGGAGTGTTTCAATGAGGCCAATCCAGATCCCTGGGAAACTTCAGCTTGTTCTTTCAAAGTCAGGCTGCTGGACCAAGAAAGACTTGATGTCAGCCCCCGATTCTTAGCGTCCCCTGGAACCTAGGGTCTAGGGACTCAGCTGCACTCTGTTCCCTCGGCACCTTTCCAACCCTGCAAGGTGGATTGTATAAAATGCAGGGAGCAGAGGCCAGGAGAGTGAAGGGGCCGCTTCTGATGCCTTGGGCCTCAGGAGTCTAATGTCTTTCCTCTTCTCCCTGCACTGCCCTGGCCAGACCCTGGGTCTTGAGCCCTCCGGCTATCCTGTGTACATACACAAATGGGCTTTCCCAAGCGCAACTCTGAAACTGCCCTTGGGTCCCAATACCGAGTCATCAAGCTCCATTCACCCGATCCTTTAATGCTTTCCGAGAAATGCCCCGACTGGCTGAGCCTCCGCTGCCCCCTGAAACATTCCCCGTGGTCCAGTCATGCTCCCCTCCTCCTATGCCTCCAGGCCTTTGCCCAGCAGCTAACCCTGGTTGCAGGATGTGACCTCTTGTTCCTCAGGCATGGGCCTGGCCCAGTGCTGGCCTTGTTGTACCTGTGTCCATGGTTACCCCAGTCACTCCTGAGTTTCTCACCACTCAACGGGGCCGCTGTACAGGGGAGGAGGTGACTGGGAAACCACCATTTCTCTGCAGCTTTTCCCTGCCATGTTTAGCATCTGTCCCTTAGGGGTAGGGACTGTGGCCTCCCATCCTAAGATCATGGAAACCTGTGAGTGATTCCACCTTGTACGAACTCTATGAGTTACATCAAACGCTCTTCCAGCGTCAATTTAAGCTCCTGCAACGACAGAGCATGCTTCCTGCTCTGGAAGTACTGGAGTGCACGCAATATTCACTCAAGTAGCTGTCCCATTTTTGCTCTTCCAGCTACCCATCTCTGGGGATAACCTAAAATCCTAAGGAGGGCGATTAGATGGCGTGCACGCCACCACTTCCTGCTCTGAGCCGTGGCAGGCACTGGTAATTGATCACAGGAGCACTCCTTCTGTCTGAGCCCACCTGCAGCAACCTTCTCCCAACAGCCCTCAGGCAGCTAGTACAAATTGACCATAGCTAATACTCAAGAAAAACTATTATTCCTGGACAAAGATGGGCCTGCAGAGGTACCCACCAGAGGCTCCTGGTCATGGCCACTGGGATTATGGGAAGAGAGCCTCCTCAGGTTAGGTCTTTCTCGGTCCTAACTATTCTTGTATCCCCATGGCACCAGGTGTCTAGCAGGGCACGCAGTCAGAGCTCAGGAGATACTCGCTGGGGCGAGGGTTCCTGCTGTCCATGCGGCCTCTGGACAGATGTTTGTAAAGGACCTCCTGCATCCAGGAGCTCTGCTAAGCACCCTCTAGCCAGACCTGGCTCTGAGATGGCCTACTTCAGAGAAGAGCCTCTTCAGTGTGGTCTGCCTGTCTCCTCTCCCATGGCCCTGGGTGGTCTGTGTAGACAGAGATCCTGCCCTGGGAGGATGCTGAGCCACTCTGCCTCTCATATTATCGCTTCTGTTTGCTAAGCCAGGTCATAGCTGATCCAGGCAGCTCTAGCCAGTGGCTTTGGGAGGATTAAGGCAGAATTACCCAAGCATAATTACATGTCTCTCTGCTATCTGCTTTGCACAGCTCTCTTAATGGGATGTTTGCATTCGGCCTCTCTATTTAATTGATTAAGTTTCCTGAGTACCCCTCAACTGGGCCAAGGACAGAGTGGGCCTGCTGAAGCCTTCCTTGATCAAGAGGAGCTGAGATTGGGCCGAGCTGGGCGGAGTTGGGTCAAAACGGATCTTTAAGAGGCCCAGGGCTTTAGGGCAACTTATAAACTTGACCTTTCCTTCCCTCCCTTTAGCCTCAGGCCTGATATCAACAGGGACGCTGTGGGGAGAGAGATTATGCCACCTTGGCCAGGGTACCTACCAACTTTAGAAGTAAAAGCACAAAGCAGTGGCATTCAAGGCCCCAGTAAGGTTCATCCCCTCCTTGTGCTGCCACCCCGCAAACAGTCACAAAGACCAGCCTCCTGGCCCAGCCTCTATCCTGCCTGTGACACATCATATCGTCCTTTACTTTGTCCACATTGTTTAGATTACCTCTCCATTGGTCTAACCCATGTCCTGGGCTTTGGAAAGAGTCTGTGCCTGGGAGCTGGCACTGGGGCTGAAACCCTATAAGCAGGCAACTGGGAGCCCCAGGTCAGGGCCTGGATATCCCAGGGCAGGGCCTGGCACTGACCATGGACCCCTGATGCCCTGCAGCCCTTGCTTGGCACCTGTTCAACCCCAGGATCCAGGGACTGTCTTTGCATTTGCCAGCTCCCTCTGCATTTTTTCCTTTCAGCAGCAGGGGTGGGAGGGGCAGAATTCAGGAGTTTCAACACTGTGAGGGCCTCGTTGGGGAGGAGGGAGAGCAGGATGCTTAGCTCAAAACACAGCAGCAGTGACGAGGATGAGGATGGTGCTGGTGATGCACAGGGGTGAGATGGAGGTCTTGTCGTGGAGGAAGAATGGGTGCACTGAGCACACAGCACCCTGTTTTTCTGTCTGTCTATCAGGTCGGGGTGTGGAGTCCTGCCGACGGGCTCAACATCACGGAGGTCGCCAAAGGCCGAGGCCCTAATGTCACTGACTCTCTGACCAACAGGTCGCTCATTGTCACCACAGTGCTGGTAAGAGCCTGCAGACCCACAGGAAGGGCTGCCAGACCTGGGTGGGGGGATGGCCATCGGGATGGGGAGATCCCTCAATCCCCTACCCATCCACCCAGTAGATGGTGGTGACAGAGCTGCAGGAAGGAGGAAACACCTAGGGTCACTCAGAAAGCACTTAGAGAGCTGCTGAAATGCAGTGGTGCTGTCACAGCCACAGGCAGAAGGAAGCCCCTGTGTCTTTGCTTCTCATTCCACCCGCTCCCTGAGCCCCTGGTGCCTCAGTGGGCACCATGAGGGAGGTAGAAGTTAGGGGGTTAAGCCACGCTGCAACAGGACTCAAGTCTGCCTCTCCCACTTCAGTTTCCAGGGAAAAGTCCTCCCCACAAGTCACCCCAGCTTGGCTGGGTGCTGTGGCCGCACGTCAAGAGCCCAGTGGGTGCTGGACACCTGTACACATGCCCCACTTTTCGGTGTCCTGGCCCCAGAGCCACCTGCACCGGCCACTCCCCCTGGATGGAGTCACATCCTGGCCTGTGTCCACTCCCCACGACTAAGTGGTGCCTCCTTCAGACCCATTGCTACCCAAGAAGTGACTCTGGGGGTCTCACAGGCTCTCTGCACCTTGGAGCTCGCGGTGAGCAGGAGGACAGACCCAGGCTGCTGGCCTCCTTTTGCTAAGCAGCTCTGGGCCTGCCCCACATTCACCCGATCCTCCTGAGTCCCTCTTGGTGGCAGGAGTGCCCAAAAGCTTGGGGTTCCCAAGCCAGGCCATCTTGGGAGGAGGTTGACCGGTCACAGCCTGGTGAATTCTGAGTGAAGACCCTTTGAGGATGATTCTGGCTCTCATCAGCTTCTACTTAAGAAAGCATGTTTGACCACATGCTGAGATGGTTCCTCAACATAAAAGGGAGCTCAACCAGTTTGGGATTAAATAATGGATTGGAACCTGGAACAGCACAGAATGGAGCCTGGGAGCAGTCTGGTCACCCCATACGTGGCCCCTCATGTGGTGCTCGGACAGGGCCTGTTGCCACCTGCGACCCCCCTCCCCGCCCCCGAAGCAGCTGAACCAGGCCCTGTTGGATGGGCTTATGTTCCCCCCTCTAGGGTGATTTGCCATGTATGCGCTTGGTGGCTGGGTGGCAAATGTCATGGAAGAAGAGAGGTAATAGGGAGAAAACCCATTCTTCCAGGAATCCCAGTCAGCAACTAAGCAAATATAAAAATCAGACTGCTGCAACCAATAAGTAAAAAGATCTTCAGTGGAACAGCGGGGGCGGTGTGGGGGGGTAGGTAATGTAAAAAATGTAAAAGATAAAAACAAACAAATAACAACAGCAAAGCGATTAGAGTGAAGACTGATATGCAATTAAAGGAGTATTGATGTGGATAAAAATAGAAAAGAAAAGGAGGGTTCTCAGAGAACCAAATAAAAAGGTTAAAAGGAAAATAATAAAGAGAAAATGAAGATAAGGAAGGAGATGAAATGGAAAGAGATTAAGAAGGACGAAAAATTAAATAATTTATAGCTCTGACGAGACAGGGTAAAAAACGTAAAACCCAAATGTCAAAAAGCAAAAGGATAAAAGTGTGACAAAGCTAAAATATAAAAGGGTAAAAATAAAATAATAAAAAGGTGGTAAAAGATTAAAAGCAGAGCTGCATAAAATGTGAGATATAAATAAAACACTTTTCACAAGGCAAGATTAAAAAAAGGTAAAACTAGTATGATTTAAGAGATTAGGAAGAGAGATGATTAAGTGAGCGAAGGTGATTCAGTCACAAAACAATACGCTGAACAGTAAGATGAGAACTAAAGAGACTATTCCTATAGGATGCAAAATACAAGCACCTTGAACGACCACGGGGTTAAATTTTATTAGAATGGCAGCAGCCTGATTTCAAGGGCATAAAATCCTTCCAGAGAGGCACGAGGGAGTTTGTCTGCACGAGGAGAGGTAGAATCCGGCAGACCCCCCCCATGCTGACCTGCGAAGACTCACAGCTTCCTTGTCAATACTTGCAGCTTCTTGCAAAGGTCCCACCTGCTGTGCTCACTGGAAGTCCCAGGCCCAGCGTCCAGCTGGACACCAGGCACCCAGGGGATAGAGAAACCTCTCTTGCCTCACAACCTGGTCACTGCTCCACGTGTCCTACGGCCCTCAGCTACAAGGCATCAGAGCAGACATGAGCCCAGTCACTCTTTGGGACGTGCAGTGTGACCAGCAGGGGCAGAACCGTGTGATTAAAAACACAGACCTTTGGGGCTGAGTCCTGGCTTTACGGTTGACCTACCGTATGACGCTGAGAAGTTGCTTACCCACCCTGTGCCTCAGTCTCCCTCTGGAAAAGGGAGGTGTAATAATAATCGTACTGACTTCGGAAAGATGGGAGAATGAATGATGAATAAATGCAAATGGCACAGAGTGAGCGCTGTCCTAGTGACAGCTGGCATTGTTATTCACTGTTATTGATTACAGATTCAGTCCCCAATGAGCTCTGGTTTAATATAACATGCGAGAGTCTAGAGAAAACCTCTGGTGGCTCAGCCTGTAATCCCGCGCCTTTGGGAGGCTTAGGTGAGTGGATTGCCTGAGCCCGCGGGTTTGAGACCCGCCTGGGCAGCGAGACCTCGTCTCTACAATAAATCCAAAAAAATCAGCCGGGCATGATAGCGCATGCCTGTAATTCCGGCTCCTCGGAAGGCTGAGGAGGAAGGATCGCCGGAGCCCAGCAGGTCGAGCCTGCGGTGGCTGGGAGCGGCCACTGCACTCCAGTCTAGGTGACGGGGTGAGACTCCAACTCAAAAAAAAAGAAAAAGAAAATACAATTAAGGAAACCTCTGCTTTTGTCCACAAGGAAGAGCCCTGGACTTCACCAAAGACTGACCCCTGACCGTGACCACAGAGGAGGTCTCTAGCACAGGGTGCGTGATGTTACAAACTTAATTTGCATCTGAGTGCCTTTTGGCCCAGGAGACATTGCCTAGCTCCCCACAGACCCCATCACTCCCTATTGTGTCCAAGGACCTGCTTCTTATAGTTCTGTTTCCCAGCTGGCCCCTGAAGGCTTGAAGGTTCGTGACCTGATGAGCCCCTATAACCCTAGTCTGCTACTGAGACATAAAACTCCAGATTGGCCACCACCTCATCCACTACCTTGGTCACAGTTAGAGCTTCTGGCCCCGATATCACGGTAATTCCCTGCCCCAGACACTGTTCCCTTGACCTCTCACATGACTTCTGACCCTCTTGAAGCAGATGTCCCACTGGCCATGGATGAGACCACTGACCATCTGAAACCCATCATGCGATATCATATACTGGGGGTGACCCCCCCCATGATGCAGTTCGTGGGGTCCATGAGCTCATGAAAAATTCATCTACCCAGAGGTCACTGGAGGGCCAGCTCTGCTTCTCCTTGTGGGTCAGTGAGAGAAGTCTGGTCTTTCCTGGAGACAGGGGAACGGAGGGAATGACCTCTGCAGCATCTCTGATGAGGACAGAGGATGTGAAAGATAGCTTTACAGGAAGCTCTGTGTCCAGCTGAAAGTGTCCTGGGAGGAAAATGCCCACTGCCATGCAAGGACTGGCCTAGGGCCCCCTGAAAACCTAGATCTGCTCCAGGCACTCCAGAGAATGTTCTGGAAAGTCTCAGCACAGTCTGCGTGTCTGGAAGTCCTGGGGGATGCTCTCAAGCTTGGGCTCTTTGGGACAGCTGCAGGGTGGTGCAGAGTGGCCCAGCCTGGCCCAGCCCCAGCTGCTCTGTCTGCAAACCCAGCCCCATGCTTGGCAGCCTGAACGGGGCAGCATCTCCTGCTGAGAGCACAGCCTCTGCTTGTCTGGGAGGGTGTTGTCAGGGCAACAGTGCTTTGAGTGACAGGCAGGTCCCAAGGTAGCAGGACGGGAACATCAAACTGTTCTGCCCCTAGAGAAGAGGACCTGGGTCCAAGAACCCCGATGAGGCGTTTCTCTTCCCCTCTTTTCCCTGGCATCTAAATGTGGCAGGAAGCAGCAGCTCTGTGTGGGCCTCCCCAAGACCCACTTGCTTTTCTCCCCTATCCTGAGCCCTGAGGTTAGGTGCTAAGAGTGCCTTGCCCTGGACAGACAGATAGATACCGCCCTGACACACCCCCTCTGGTCCCTCAGAGCCGCAGGCAACCTGCCGCATTCCTGAGATGGAAACCGCAGTGGCAGGAGCCTGGAAGCCTGCCCTCCCCCGCCCTCTCCCTGCCTGGCCCCAGCCTCTGTTCTGGTTCCGCTCTTCCACGAGCTCATGAAAAATTCATCTGCCCAAACCTCAGCTCACACACCGAGAAAACACACCCGACCCACTCCTGGGGGCCCTGCTTTTGAAGGTTCAGGGCTCTTTTGGCTGCTGATGTGAGCCATGGTGTGGGCATGAGAGTGGGTGGGGGTGTGGGTGTGGGTGTGGGACCAGCTATGCTCGGGTGTCTAGATATTCACTGATGAGTGTATTTGTGCTGTGTGCACATTGTGACCCACATGGACTCAACTACCAGGCAGGCTGGACCCTCAGCACCCAGCAGCAGAGAGGGGAGAAGCTAAGGCCAGAATGTGTGCTGGGAGAGCCATCTCAGGTCGGGGACCACTGAGGGCCTCTCCTGCTGGGAGGACAGGACTTCTAATGCTCTGAACTGGTTCTAACTGGCAGAAGCCACAGCCTTCCATGTGGGCTAGAGCCCAGGGTCCATGACCTCTCTGTGTGGGTTGGGATCCAGGGTCCGTGGCCTCTCTCTATGGGCTGAGGTCCAGGGTCCATGGCCTCTCTCTAGGACTGAGGTCCAGGGTCCTTGGCCTCTCTTTGTGGCCTGGGGTCCAGGGTCCATGGCCTCTCTCTGTGGGCTGGGGTCCAGGGTCCATGACTTCAGTGTCTAAGCAGGTCTAGGTAGACCATACATCTGAGAATGTGGTGTATTTGTGCCGGGCAGTGTATATACATGTGTGCGCACCTGTGAGTTTATACTGACCCTTCAGAAGGGGGTTTGGGATCACACCTTTAAGGTAGCTAACCCCCAAATCCTTCCCCTCTTGGGAATAACGACCAAGACCCAGCTCCATGGGTCTTGTCACAGGGAGAAACTTAGCACCAGGCCTGACTTTCACACGGGTATAAGTGATCACAGAGCAACCAGACCAAGAGGCCTGGCAAAGGAAAATCAGAAACGGTTATTTTTCTGGACCCCTGTTTTCTGTGACTTGTTGAAGAGAAATATTACCCCTGCTTCTACGGCTGTTCTCCCAGAGCAATAGGAGAGCGTGAAGTTATGAAATTGAGGGCACCTTCACTGAGCAATCGATTAGCAGCCGAGAGAGCTTGTGAATTGGCTGTCTGGACATTTCCAGTAATAAATTGTGAAATAGTCCATGAATAAGTAGTTGGCGGAGTTCAGAATTACCCCCTAGGAAATGTTGCAGGTCTAGAGACACATTACTAAGGCGAGCACCATTTTAATGCTCTGGGCTTTGGCTGTTAAATATGTATGCCATCCGCAAAGCACTTCCCGAAATTAATGGCATTTTACAGCTGCTCCGAAGGCAGCGTATTTATATGGAGATGTATAGATTCTAGGGTTGTGGTGGCTTCACAAATGAAGTGCTAATTTTAGAGGATCGGACCGGGAGGGGCATGGAGAGAGGATCAGGAAGTGAGCTATCTCGGGGACCTTTCCTGAAATGGTTTCGCAATACAGGCCATGACTTTTAACCTTTGATGACATTGGGCGTGGTCTCTAGGCTGGAAAGGTCACTGCAGTAACAGGCCAACTAGCACACAGGAAGAAGGAGATGAGAAGGAGAAAGATATGAATAATAATAATAATAATATTGGCAGTTGACATTTGCTGGGCACTATTCTGAGTGCTTTTCATGGATTGACTCATTTTATCCTCCCAATCGCCTTGTAAGCTAGGTTCTAATTATTTTCCCCATCTTACAGATGAGTAGATTTTGTCTAGGGTTCTTTGTGTAGTTGGTGGGTCCTTGGTAAAGACGGTACCTTCTCTCTAATTATTTCCATGAGCTAAAAGTCAAGGCCAGCAGGTGTCGTGTGCAACTTGTTCACTACACAAGAGTGTCAACCAAAAGGATGGGTTGGGACTGAAATCCCACCCAGGCTCCGTGCCAGGGTTTGGGGAGCATTGCCCAGAAACTAATTTGCACAGAGGCAGTGCATAGATCAGCCAGCGGCCCCTCTCCTCCAGCCTCAGCACCGTTCCCAGGCCCCACCTGGATGCTTCTCCAACGATGTTGAGTTGCCTGCATTGGAGGGTGAGTGTGAGCAGCACTGGGATTTAGCATGGTGCCTAGCTGAGTGTCAGGCTTCCTACCCAGAATCCCTGGAGAGTTGGGAGTCCCTTGGGGTTTCAGACACCCCAGCCCTTTCTCCAAAGTGTCTCAAAGGTCTATTGAGAAGCTAGAGTGAAGTAGTCATGGGGTAGGATGGGATTCACAGAGGGAGTGTTGCTGGAGAACCAGAGCCAAAGAATTGAGCCTGCCCACCATGGCAGGAGCCTGGCAGGAGGCTGCTGGGGAGTTTCTGCTCTGGGGACCATTGACAAGGTTCTCCTTGGGGGCTTTCCACTGCTCACCCCACCAGCTGAGGGAAGCAGACACCTCCATAATTAGGCACATGACCTATTGTGGACATATGGACATGAGCATCCTGGTTCAGTGCATTTTGGCAGCTAATGGTGTCACCGTCACCTGAAGGCTTGGAGCATTCTGACATATAGGGTGCTGAGGCGGGTTTGAGGAAGGTTGGCTGAAAAGAAGAGGCCAAGGAGCTACAGACAGGAACAGTTCAGGGGACCGAGGAGGGAGGTCCAGATGAGTCAGAAACAGACCAGGGTTGTCCAGGAGCAGATGCTGAGATAGCAGCTCTTGACCTGATTGGAGATCTAGAAAAGCAGATTCACTCAGGAAGGTCTGACCCCAGGGGACAGAGAGGAAAGCAAAGGCAGGCAGAGGTGCTGGTTGACTGGAAAAGACCAGAACTGGATCCCATCAAACTGTTTTTCAACTCCTGTGTGACTTTGGGCAACTTGCTGCCCTTCTCTTAGCCTCAGTTTCCTCATCTATCAAATGAGGATAATGTCACCGTCTTACAAGCTAATGAGACTTAAATCAAGCAGTCTGTGATAAAGAGTTTAAATTGATGCTTTGTGCAGAGTGGAACTAAATGTTGAGTTTTTGGGGAGTTCGGCACATCCACCACAGACTCAGAATGGGATTTGTAAGGGACACTGGGTGGGTGGTTCCAGCAGAGACGGACTTGCATGTTGACCCGGATTCCGGGACCTTGCCGCATCAGAGTTTACAGTCCTTACTGTGTATCTCCAGCTAGAGGGGTGAAGTCAGTAGCTTTTTTCCACCTGTTCTCCTGCCTCTCCTCCTGGTTATTCTTTGCAAGGTTGCCAAGGGTTTGTTTCAGACAGTCGTGCCCTGTTCAAAGCCCTTCCCTGGCTCCCCGTCACCTGGAGAGGGAGGAGGCTGTGGTGGAGGAGCCCATCATGGGACAGGTGTCTCTGGCCTACAAGCCACCTTGCAGGGTCACCTGCCCAGCATGGTGAGGCTCCATGAGACTCGGGGACTCTGGCCCAGAACTCGCCCTCTAGGATCACACCAGCATGAACACAGATCTCTTCTCAATGCCCTCTGGGTGGGCTCCCACAAGTCATTTGTCCTCATGAACTTCACTTTCTGCATCTGTAAAATGGGATTATTAATACCTGCCCCAAAGGGCTGAGGTGAATGAGCAGTAGCAGCTTCTGCCTGTTGAGCCCTGGTGCCTGCTGGCTCCATTCTAAGCCGGCTGCAGGCATCATTGCACTTGCTAATTGACCAGTGCCTGGCACAGCCACATGTAGATGTGAGCTATCCCCGTTATCAGTAATCTCCTGACGGAGGGGATCCTTGAAAAGAGAGGATGGTGTCAGGGAGTGTGCAGATCTTATCTTTTAAATGGGAGTTGGGTGAGAAGTGAGGAAGACATTTGCTGAAGGGCTTTCCACAGCAGTATCCTCAGATGCGAGTGGGCCTCAGAACTCCTGGAGGGCTACTAGGAACACAGATTGCTGGACCTTGAAGAGAGCTGTTCAGATTCGGTTAGGTCTGGGAGGGAACTGAGAATTTGCATTTGTAACAAGTTCCCAGCTGATGCTGATGCTTCTGGTCTGGGGACCACACATTGAGAACCCTGGTCTCTGTGATGAGTCTGCAGAGAGACCACGGGCTTTGGGATCAGATAGTCTCTGGTTCCAATCCCCGCTCCATCATTCATCAGCTGTGTACCCCTTGGGCAGTTAAATCAATAAAGTTCCTCCTGAGCACCCATCTTGTATGGGGACTGCCAGACTGGCTCCTGGGACATGCGTCCTCACAGGCCATTTGTCTCATCCACCCCAGATGGTCTTGTAACAATGTGAGCAAAGGTTCTGGCCCAAACTCCCAGCTCAAGCCTGCCTTCACCCTACCCACCACTCAGCCCTCATCGCCCCTACCCATCTGTCCCTGCAGGAAGAGCCCTTCGTCATGTTCCGGAAGTCCGACAGGACCCTCTATGGCAACGACCGGTTCGAGGGCTACTGCATCGACCTGCTGAAGGAGCTGGCCCACATCCTGGGCTTCTCCTACGAAATCCGGCTGGTGGAGGACGGCAAGTACGGTGCCCAGGATGACAAGGGCCAGTGGAACGGCATGATCAAGGAGCTCATCGACCACGTGAGCATGGCTGGGGTGGGGGCACAGTGGGCAGGGCCACAGGAGGCTTGGCCAAGTGCTGTCTGCACAGCAGGGCTGGCGTCCTGGCAGAGGAGAACTCTGGAGGCAGACGGAATGGGGCCAAAGACTGTGGCCTTAGGGGCTGGAGGACCCTGCATAAGGATGTGAACCCAGCTCTCATGGGACTGCCCTTTTCATGCTCCCTGTTCCGTTCACCTAAACACACACGCACACACAGAGTCACACACACTGGTCCTGTCCGATTTGGAGTCAGTCCCTCTGGTATCTTTGACCAGCTCACTCTAGAGGAGTCCCCCAGCTTCTCAGTGACTTCCGCTCCTTTAAGAGCTACCAGAGGATGCCCCACCGTGTGAGCCAGGTGGCAATAGGAAATATGTCACCAGACTCCATGGCACAGGGATAATCTGTGACTGCCTTGAGTTACTTTGGGTCCAGTGGGAGCCCAGGGAACTGAGGGCTGGGATAAGCAAGGCTCAGCTGGAAGGCACCAGGAGGCACCTCCCCCAAAGAGAGAGGACCAGGAGCCTAGGCAGACAGAGGGAGGGAAGGGAGCAGCCAGAGGGAAGGACTGAGGTTCATGGGACATCGGGAGAATGACAGGGAGAAGCCACAGGCTAGGGACACCACAGCAGGGGAGGAATCAGGAGGCCCTGAGTTTGTTCACTTATTAGTTATGTGAAACAGGGACACGTCCCCAGTTGTTCACTTATTAGTTATGTGAAACAGGGACACGTCCCCTGACCACTCAGGACAGTTTTGTCATCTGTAAAATGGGCATGTTAATAGGAGAGAGTCTTATACTAGAGGGACCCCCCCAAAAAACCCAAAATGATCTTTTGGAGGGCAGGCTCCTCAAAAAATTCTGCACACTCAGAATGTTTCTCCGGATCAGATAGTCAATCAAAGTTTTTATCTGGAAATTTTGAGAAGGTTGCATCGTGATTTGCAGAAGAAGCATCCCAAATTGTGGCAGACAGGTGACTGGTTCTTCCACCGTGATAGTGCACATGCCCACACCATGTTGAGTGTTCAGCAGTTTTGGACCAAAACCAGCATGACTCCCATGCCCCATCCTCCCTATTCACCTGATCTCACTCCAAGCAACCTTTTTTGGTTGTTTTCCCGGATGAAAAAAGCCCTCAAAAGGAAACGTTTTGCTGATGTGGAAGAGATGGGGGGAAAAAAATGGCAGAAGCACTAAAAGGCATCAAAATTGATGAATTCAAAAACTATTTTGAGCAGTGGAAAAAGCATCTCGATAGGTGTATTACATCAAATGGAGAGTACTTTAAAGGTGATTGAAGTTTAAACGTGTAAGAATTCTGTTTTTTGTGGGGGGGAGTCACCCTGGTAAGATGCTATAAGCAAATGCATCGTGGTTCTCAGACACTCTGGCTATGGTCCAGCAGACTGGAGTGTAAGGCCCAGCTGTGCCACCTAGTTGATGTGTGAACAGGGAAGCTCATCAGCCTCGCTGAGCCTCAATTTCTTCATTTCTAGAGTAGGAATGATTAGTAGCTACCATAGCTCATAAGATCGTTGCGGGAATTAAATGAGGCATTTGTGCAGACCCACCTGGCTTGTAATAAACATCACCTGCCTTCTCCTGAATGCAGGGGCCTGATCTGTACCAGACCCCACAGATCCCTTCTCACTTATCCTTAGAACAGCCTGGTGAGGCAGGTACTATTACAAATGAGAAGACTGAGGCAGAAAGAGGTGAAGGCCCCCAGCTAGTAAGCGCTGGAACTGAGATTCAAAGTGGTGGAGACTTTGGAGGCACCCTGCCTCGTCGCCCAGGGGGCTTCAGCCTCTTCAAAGACCCCAGGAGCCAGGGCAGAGGGAGGTTCACACGGTAGATCTTTGCAACCCAAAAAGTACCAGCCACAGGTTAGGGATTTTTATTACCTGGCCTCTCCGTGGTGGGGGCAGGCAGCACCAGGGCCTTCTGTTAAGCCCTCCTGCCTCTGTCTGAGACCTAGGAGGCTGGAAGTGGGGAGGGAGGCTGGAGCTCAAGGCATGAGGGCTCCAGCCTGGCCCAATGGAGTCATCTCCTGGACCCCAGCAAGTCCGGATCCTGTGGAAATCTGGCAGGACAGGCAGACAGCAAAGAGCATGAACTCGGGCTGGGTTTGAGTCCCACTCTGCCACTTACTGGCTGTGTGTTCCTGGACACGTTTCTTAACCTCTCCGTGTCTCAGTTTCCACATCTGTAAAAGAGTGTTGTGAGGACTGAGTTAACATAGCGCATCACATAGCCGGCACCGTATTGGTGTTTGCTATTTTTATTTTTCTCCTGTCAGCTGTTTCTTAGAAGCTGGGGGGGGGGAGGGGGGTGACGCTTCAGGACATCCCTTTATCTCCCTGAGCGCCAGTTTCCTAACTCAGCAATGAGAATAATAATACCTGCCCAGCGTGCTTCCTGGCTTGTCGTGAGCCTCAGAGGAGACAACTGGCGGGAAAACAACTCCTGGGTTGTAGAATTCTGTGTGAACGGAAGGGAGTAGTGTTGTCACTGCTATTAGTAATAGCTATAATTATTATGGAAATTAGGCAACTGGCCTCAGCGGCCTCTCCATCTTACCCCCTCCACTGCACTTTGTGAACAGGGCACTGGCTCTAGAGCTCCGGGTGGTTCTGGGGCTGTCATTTGCTGAGCGAACTGGGCCGGGGAGGACAGGCATCAGGTGGAGAGCAGCGCCACATGTGGACGTGAGCCGGGCTGAGCCACCCAAAGCATCCCCAGTGGCCCAGGAGCTTTGAAGAGCCATGTGCAAGGGGGTGTGATCAGAGAGACCCAGCAGCAGCTGACCTTCCTGAGCTGCTCTCAGCTGGGTAAAGTGGAGAGCATCGTCCTCGGCCTCCACGCAGCTAGGCGGGGCCTTGGGCAGTGGGTATCCATCAAGGCCACGGGCCCTGGTGGGACATGCAGGGGACCTTGTTAAACCCGATTTTCTACAATTGATGAGCCTATTAATCCTAGCTGGGTGCCATTTTTAATAACATCATAACCATTTATTAGCATCGTCAGATAATTAGTCTTCTCGCTAGCCCATAGAAAGCATGGTAAAGGCTTGGCAATATTATTACTTCCTTATTAGGGATCTGAATGTAGGTGTAAAAATGATGAATGCCACCTTTGTAAGTATCTGCCCTGCCCCCCC